TGGTTGTACCTGCAAGACCATGGCCTTTATGCGGGAGCTGGCCCAGGTGTTCACGCCCTGGGATCTGGGCTGCGAATGTCACCAGCAGCAGTGGCCTGCCTGAGCCTTTGCTTCGTTCTGATTCCCCTGGTGACACATCACCAGAGGAGGACAACTTGGGCATTCAGCACCCAACTCTACCCTCTTCCCCAGCTGCTGCATCCACTGGTGGGTCGGGGAGCCCTGGCCAGCAGCAACTGCCTGGCCCTTGGTGCAGCCCCAGACCCCACCGTGAGGAGTGGCTGGCATTGTCACCACTGGATTCCAGCAGTGCCAGCTCCTCCCTGGGGGGGGCCCTGGCCTGGTGCTGGCCTGCCATGCAGCATGGGCCACAGACACTGGGCATAGCTGGTTGCGCTTGCCAATGGGGAGATCTGCGCGGAGCTGCCAAGCCCCAGACACATAGTAAGTCCTGCATTGGAGGAGGGCCTTTCCAGTCCCTGCCCATTTCCTGGTCTTGGCCCCTGCCCCTGCTCCCTGCTTGGCCCACCCATACTCCTCTGGCCTTGGGTTCCCACAGTTAGGCAGGCACAGGCCTCTCACACCCTGAGGAAGGCATCAATGCTGGCAGCGATGTACTCCTGAGCAGTGGGGGGCAGGGACATGTAGCACAGCCACAGGTGGTGGTGGAGGTTGTTGGGCAGCCTGGGCTTGCCCCCCACACCATCGTTGCTCAGGGTCCCAAACCAGGAGCGCAGGTGTGCCAGGGGCACCAGGAGGATCATCATCAGCAGGGCATAGTGGCTTGAGCATCCCTAAGCCTGCACAAACAACTCATCACACACTACCTGGGGCATGCACAGAAGGGGCATGCTCAGGGCACAGTGGCAGTGAGGGGGGGCGGGCAGCCCTGGGGCACTTTCCCAGAGAGGCCCTAAACAGGGAGGGCTCTTTATGAACTGCTCTTAAGAATCACTCGTAGGATTTTTTCTTGTTTATGGAAACTGTAGAATTTAAGTAATTAATTACCATTAAGCATCTGTATTAAGTGATTTGCCTCTTATCCACTGTGAAAATGCACAGAGTACTTAATGGCTTTCAAGATTTTTTACCTGTGGTGCTTGGGTTTAATAATTGCATATTTGGCTTTCTAAAACCTATAATCTAGACATTTTTCTGTCTACATTGTACACCTGTTTGCATTTTATTTACCTATTCTTTTTCTCTTTGCTTTAGCACTACAGGTGCATAGCACATAAGCAGATGGTATAAAGAAAGAACAAAGAACAAAAGAATTATTATTAATCCCTTAGATTGTTTGATATTTTAATATTAGGCTTTCAGATATATTGAAGCAGTTTAGCACCTATAACTATAAAATAAATTATTAGTACAGTGCAAGGGGAATTAGATGCCCAACTTTCCCATTAGCACTAGTACGAAGCTTATATATACAATTCACTAAGCTGAAAATTGTCATGTACAGTATAGAGGCTGTCACAAGGTGCAGTCAACATGAATTAAAGTAGAGAGGCATTTTAAGGGATTGTATTTTAGGTTAAAAAGTGCCACATCCATACACATTGTATCTCTAAGGATATTTGCTTTGGATTTTTGGTGAATCGCTAAAGGTTTGGCATGTGCCTTTACTTCAAAAAGAAAAAAAATCCAAACCTTATCCTGACTGAATCTTTATAAGCCTTACCTTTTAGAGCACATAAACCTTGCTATCGCAGACTTGAGAAGCACTCCCTGAAGGCACATTGAAAGTGTACATAAAAAGGTGGCAATCTGTGGGGGCTTTTACTGCTGGGTCACTTCTACAGAAAGTTAAACAGCTAACACTGACAGGTCCAGATCTAAAAAAAAAAATCATAAGAGATCTAAAGTGGGACGTAGATGGCTCTAAGCAGCTGCAGGAGGAGTATGTTGATTTTAGATGGTTTCCTGCTAATCTGTTCCATCTAGAATCCTAATCTGAAGTACCTAAGGTCTGGGGTACTCTCCTTAGGCACCTAGGGACCCTCAGTGGGGACCTGGATTCCTTTTTAAGGGACAGGCACAGTAGTGCTTAACTTGTAGGAACCTAAGTCATTTTTTTTACATGGTCCATTTTACAGATTGTTAAAGACTTCAGATATTTTGGAATCGTCTTTTATATTGTGTCTAAATCACTTACACTATAATGTTTTCATCATATTGGGAACTATCTAGGAGCTCATGGATATATTCCTCCTTGATGTATGCAAATTTTAATGTCCCTTAGTCAAAAAGAGCTCAAGTAAATGTTTTAAAAGCAGGCTTTGAATATAGGATTCAGAAAAATATATGTTATGTGTCGTCTGGCACAGATTTATTATTTTTTTAAATTTTTTGGTTTGGACCAATTACAGTCCAAGTTGCATATAATGGGCTCATTTGCCAATCAGAAAATTGCCTGACGTCCAGGCAATCCAGCAATGTCTCAACTGCTGTCAGTGCTGTGCTATTAGCAGCGCTGAAACTGACTGTCTCCTTGCTCTCAGTCTCACTGACTGCTGCTTCCATAGCCTCTGCCAGGAGGATCAGTCATGGGAAGTGCCTCTGTCTTTGAGCTCTAGGACAGAGAGAACTAAGTCACTCTGCAGAGATGCTGCATGCACAGTCTTGCCCACAGGTGGATCCATGATTTTGAAAGGGGTGTGGGAGCAGCAACTGGTGCTGTAGGTGTTTCTGGACTTTCTGCTTTCAGCTCTCCCCCTCTCTAGGTAGGCAAAGCATGGGGCAGACCACTTCCATCCAACACTCAGCACCCTTTCTCCTCCCCTCTGTGCTCAGTGACACTTCCCGGTCTCCACTCGTCTTCATAGACTGCATAGACATTAGGGGCTGGAAGGGACTGCATGAAGTCATTGAGTCCAGCCCTCCTGCCATATGCAGAAAGTCTGCTGGGGTGAAATGAACCCATCAAGATAAACATCCAAACACCTTTTGAATGAATCCATAGTAGGTACTTGCACCACCTCTGGGGGGACTCTATTCCAGACCCTGGACACTTGGACTTTAAAGAAGTTTTTCCTTATGTCCAGTCCAAACTGGCCTTCCAGGAGTTTATGGCTGTTAGACTTTGTTATCCCTTGGGGAGCCCTGGTGAACAACTGTTCTCCCAGGTCCTGATGTACCCCGCTTATATACTTATAGGCTGCCACCAAGTCACCCCTGAGCCTTCTCTTTTCCATGCTGAAGAGTCCCATGTCCCTCAGCCTGTCCTCATAAGGCTCTCTCTCTTGGCCTTTGATCATACAAGTGGCTATCCTTTGGACTCTCTTAAGCTTATCCATGTCTATCCTGAAGTTGGGAGCCCAAAACTGGATGCAGTACTACAGCTGCAGCCTCACTTAGGCCGAGTACAGCGGGAGGATGATGCCCCTGGTTTTGCATGGGTGCATGCATGCCAGTGTTTTGTTTGCTTTGCTGGCCATGGCATTGCGTTGGTGGCTCATGTTCATCTTCTGGTCAATAAAGACCCCCAAGTCTCTTTCGGTCACGGTGCTAGCGCGCAAAGCACTGCTGTGCCTATAAGTGTGATGCTGGTTTTTCCTCCCAAGGTGGAGCACCCTGTACTTCTCTATGTTGAATGCCATCAGGTTTTGGTCCACCCACCTTGTGAGCATATCCAGGTCAGCCTGTATCCTCAGCCTGTCTTCCAGTGTGACTACCTTCCCCCAGTTTAGTGTTGTCTGTGAACTTCGCTAGTCCGCATCTAACGCTCACACTCAAATCTTCATTAATGAAGATGTTGAAGAATACTGGCCTGAGTACTGATCCCTGAGGGACTCCACTGGTTTTTTTGCACCATGTTGATTTGCTCCTATGAACTAGTACTCTTTGGATCCAACCTGCAGAGCCAGTTCCCCAGCCCTCACACTGTGAGATGGTTGAGGCTGCAGTGCACCTCTGGGCACAGGAAAGGGAGACTTGCCTGATGCTTCCACTGTCCCAACCAGCTTCAGCCATTGCTGTAGGGGGTGGTTGCACTGGGATCTAGTTTGGTCAGGGACGGCAGTGGTGGGTGGGGGGAGGGAGGAAGGGAACAAAAGGGAAGGAAAGCGAGAGGCTGCTGAACATGGAGGGGGAGGGAGAGGGTGCCAAGAAGGAGAGGATTCTTACTCGCTTTGGGGACTTAATGTCTTTGGCTGTTGCTCCCATGGCATGGTCTGGATTCTGCAGGGTACCCAGGTGTTGGGAGTCACAGAAGCCAAGCTACACTGTGGGAAGCAGAGTGTGACTGCACTGCTGCACTGCCTCTAGATCTGTCCATGGTCTGATCAGCATGAGAATTGCAGTGTGCCACTTAGTACATACTGCCAAACTCTGACAAGACTCTACTAAAGTATGTGCAAGTTGGTCTCTTAGGTTTGTAACTTGGCCAAATTTAAAGATATTGTCATGAAAACAGCTGAAAAAAAGTGACTCCCTCTACCCCCAAAATTACAAGCTGGTCTGCTTCAAAACATAGAGTTGTAGAGCTACTTAATTAAAATGATTCTAAGAATTGAACATGATCCAAACACCATATTTTCTCCTTTCTTCACAGAAGTGGATGACCACTGCTGCTGCAAATTCTCAAATTGTTAAGCCTAAAATAGACACCTGGGCTGGAAAATTTCAGACTGAATTTTTAAAGTTTGGCAAAATTATAAGCAGCTGTATATGGCATCTTATAATGCAGAGAATCAGGCAAACTCTGCAGAGATGTAGGGGTGAAACCACCTACATCTCTAGATTTCTCTTCCTAGTTGCTTAGAAGTCAGATCTAAATCAGTCTTGGTCTCAGAATCACGACCGCCCCAGTCTGTCTCACAGATTCTCACAGTATCACGACCGCCCCAGCCCCTCCCCCCATCTGTTTCATTTACCACTGAGCTATGACCTGGGCTGGAGACATTCCTAAGGGAGGGGGGGACCTGCTCCTTTTGTTTCCATTTGAATTTGCAGGTCATGTGACTAGTTCTCTCACCTGGTCAGTCTTACATCATTTAGAGGCACCAGTCAGCTGCCAATGGGACTGCTTCTGGTGGGAACTTAGTGATGAGGTCATGACATGGATATATAAGGTACCTTCTTCCTTGAAGCGGGGAAAACAAGTTTTGGGTGCACAGGCAGCTAGCCATGCAGCCTCTAGAGCAGGCTCAGTCAGCTCCTGGATGGAATTGTGTGTAACTTACATGAAATGTATCAGGGAATTTAGAATCTAGTGTTTTAGTCACTTGTCAAAAGGCTACCAAGCCATTTCTGTTTGCTCCAGGGTTTCTTTTGATATTTCTCTGACTTGTACCTATCCCCAAGCCTGCCCTCTCTACCCAGTAAAGCTATCCATTAGCCAGCCTTGTGGTATATGCTTGAGAGGTTTTGGGTACACCTTTTTGCTCCCTTGGCTCGACTAAGGGAAGCTACCTTCTGTGCTTCAGGCTAATAGAAGCACTCCAAGATCCCAAGGTCTACAGGGCCCAGGATGCACAGTATCCCGGGATGCACGGGGCCCAGACAAAGACTAGAGTCTGGATGGTGGCAGCACTACCCCAGGCTTGTGGGTATGCTCCAGGAAGAGGGTTGGCCATATATAGGTGCCTCCATGGAGGCACTTGAAGCCTAGCTTTTGGCTGGGCGCAGTGAGGTGGGTGGCTCAGCACAGGAGTGCCCCCTACTGGCTGCCACATGTGGCATCTTATAACGGGGAGAATCATGCAAACTCTGGAGAGATGTAGCGGTGAAACCACCTGCATGCTCTAGAATTCTCTTCCCAGTTGCTTAGAAGCCAGATCTAAATCAGTCTCAGTCTCACTTTCTCACTTCTCCACCCTCCATTATTTATTTCACAAGCTTAAAAAGACATACCTATTATATCTTACTTTACATATACGAATAATTGCATTCTGACTGCACTCTGAACTTCTCTCAGTTTTGTTGAAGCCCATCTGCTCTTTCACTAAGAGTGTTACACTTCCCTGCTTCATGTGACTCTTTTGCATTTGGATAAATAATTATACTTTTTTACCTACTTGATGAATTGGTTCCAAAGTGTGAATGGAAATCAATGAGGTTGTCCTGCTGCAACTGATAGGAGGATTTGGCAAAATGTGTCCTTTTCTGTGCTAGCAGTGTGTGGTGTGATAGAGTCACTTGTTTTATCTCAATACTTTTATCTGTTTTGCTTTTCTGTAAGGAACTTCTTGTGAATGGCTACATACCTGCAGACACATTTTAATAATTCATTGTGAACAGTGAGAGTAAGCAAGATGAATAATAAAGTATGATCTACGGCTGTACCTCAAAGGCAAGAAGTGTAAATCCTACTTAACCACATAAACATCAAGATCTTGTTTCACTTTACAATCAAGGAATGGGATTCTATATCATATATGCTTTTATATTTAAACCTGTGATTTTCATATTTGAAAAGATTTAAAGGACAAACACACAGTAGCCTATAGAACAATACGATAATGAATTACAGGAAACATTGTTCAAATGATAAAGGTCCATTCATAGACATATAACTTGAAAAAATATAAAATCCATCTGTACTTTATACATAGCACGTTTATATTAGCCCCATTGTATTGTTTCCCAGTTTGCTATGGGGGAAAAATCTGGACCTATTTGCTGAGACTCAGATTTGATATTTTTTCAGGGAAAGAGACCATTCCATCATTGTATTTCTAAACATCTCCACAGCGTCTGTTTGAAAAGCTACACTCACATTAACACCCTAAATTAACTTTCCCCTGAACTGTGCTAGACACATAGGAGCAAAGCAGCACAAAAATGGAACATGGGACCCCAGCAAATAGTAGCAGGTTGGGGAATGTAGCCTATGCAACAATGAAGTGAGAAGAGAAGGAGCAGGGGAACAGTTGCTTCAGGCAGATTGTTTCCTTGGAAACTTATAAGGAAAGTGCTAATGATACTCAGAATGCTATTACCTTCTGCTCTGTGCCTCTTCCCTCACTTGGGGAGGGGGGGTGAGAGAAGGTTAGCAGAAGAGAGAAATAATGGAGCTAACAGTGGCTGCAAAAGCCATGTAATCAGGGAGGAGAGGAGTCATAGAGAAGAATCAGACTGTCTGTGTAGATGCTCAGGATACTTGTCATGGGTGCTGGCTGCCCTTACAGATTCTCAAGCCCACTGGATTTTCACTTAATGTTTTAGTTTTTGACACATAGCCATATTCTTTCCCCTTACAAATGCTGCTGTTCATTCGTTGCTCCATCATACTCCTGATAGAAATTTTGGGGCATTCAGAGTTCTCTGTCTCAAATATTCCTTTTATTTTGTTGAAAACTCAGTATTTTCATACCTTATATTTAGGATTTTCTTCCATTAAGACCTTCTGAGTTATGGCCACCTTGTTTAGCTCTGAGCACTCTCAACTTCAGTACTTCGCAAGTGCAGCTCTTCTGGATGGTCATCTAGATAGCTCTTCAAAGGACATGTTTTTACTACCTGCCTACTGACCAAAGGACCACCCCTAAGTAAGTTCTGCCTCCTTATTTTCATTTGACACACCAGAGACAGGCAGGCATTAAAGACTGCTTGGGAGCGACCCTAAGGAGCCCTGAATGTGTACCTCAGAGCTGCACTTAATTTTAGGATTTACATCGCTTACTTCATTCACAAGCATTACCCTGGCACTTCCCAATCTGTTTTGCAAAGTACAAGTTGTGTATAAAAATCATTTCAGTTGTCACTGGATCTCAGACAATCTGTCAAGTATAAGACAGAAAACTAAGAATACCTCATCTAATTGAAACTATAGATTTTTTTTAGACAGAATGGAACTGCTAACCTTGAATTTGGTCATGATCCAGAGAGGGTTAATGAGCTATGTTTCTTCTTCATCAGTGCTTTTGTACCTTTCAGCCTTCTTAATAGAAAGACCCAAGTATTATTATTAATCAGACAGGAATTATGTAAGGAAAAATTGAAAAATAAGAGTTTTCCATACATATGCACCAAATACTGTGTTTTCCCCTGAATTTTTTCTGTCAAAACTAGTGTGTAGCAATGATGCACCCTGGAGCAAGACTGAGAAACTATCAGCACTTAAAACAAGTTGTAATTCTGTGTTCAAACATCTATCTGTACATTATCTTACAGACATGAATGAATATGCAGTGTAACTTAATATATCACCCGACATGAGTTACCTATGTGGGTATATTTCATTCTTCAACAAATCAAGTCTTTTAAGATGAATGTCATTTGAATTCGGTTCTTTAGCAATTTGGATGTGGCTATTATACAGATAATTTATTTTTCAAAATCTTGAGGCAATGTTCAGAGGTGCAGCCATTACATGGGCATGACCATTTCATGAGCAAACATAGCATTTGGTTGCTTTATCTTTATCTTTTCATCCTGGCCCATCTTAGCTATTTTTGAGTTAACAAGTTTCTGCTGCTGAAAGGTACTTTACCATATGGTAGTAGAAAAATATCAAACTAATGCACTAATTACAAACAGCTAAAAGTTCATTACAGTTTTGGCAGGTTGTGCTTCGGGAGGTTGAGATGAGAAGAACTCCTTTTTTAATGTTTTATGTGGTAGGAAAATTATTTTCTTGATTTGTTCCAGATACTAAAGTACTGTCTGTAATGTATGCTACCAGGATTGATCAGCAGGTGTTTACTTCAGGTAGTCATAACATGTTTTAAAGGGCTTTAAAATGTCAGTATTAGTTATCAAGATGGTTGGAAGTTAGTCGTTGCAGAATTTTTTTTGGAAATTTTCCATACCATTACACTCTGCAAAGAATTGTATTGCATCTCCATTTAACTAACTATAATAAGGGAAAGTCAAGTAGATGCCTCTAAGGATAGGGAAGGATTTTTTAGGGTGATATCTTTTATTGGATCAACTGTGATGTTGGGATGAAGTTAGACAAGCTTTTGAATGTAAGACATTCTTTGTCAGGTCTCTGATCACAGGAGGCCAGGTACAGCATAGTGTAAAACAGCAGGGGAGAGGGGAGTGCAAGAAATTCTCAGGGGTAGCAGACACAAAGCAGAAGAAAAGAAGCTGATTACTGGGAGACCAAGGCTTATCAAAAGGGAGGAGGGTCATTTTCACCTTTCTTGCATGGAAAGTTTTCAGGAGGTTGACAAAATATAATGGGTGTGTTTAGTTCTTAGTTCTTAGTGTCCAGTCAGCTTATGAATTTTTGCCTGTTAAAAGTATTAAGTAGATTTTCCTTGAGTGCAAAAATAATGAGGTCAGAGAGGAAGTTCTGTGAGAAACGTACTCCGAGGATTGGGCTCATACATACTGGAAATATGTTGTTGCTTCCTAAACTACTTTTATGCCCTCTCTAGCATTGCCAGGTGTGTGTGTTTATTTGTTTTTTAAAGACATACACATGAACATGGATGCATGCGTGTGTATGTGTATAATTTTTGCATGTATGTCCGTTTTGTTGAGATTTCTGCTGGAAGCAATAGTATTCCATATTTGGGATTTTGCCTTCTTCCCCTTCTGGCCATTTTCAAAACACCTGACATTTCCTATTGACCCTTTATGTGATAGCCATTCTCTGTCAGTTTGTTACTTTCTTCCCTGCTTTTGAGTGGAAAGCCTAGTATTTCAGGGTCTACACCAGGGGTGGGCAAAATATGGTCTATGGGCCGAATCTGGCCTGCAGAGTGATTTACCAAGGCAGTGGTGGGTCCGTCAGCCTCACTGGGCTGTGGTGGGACACTCCTATTCCATACCAGCCCACAGCTCACCCCAGAATGCCCATTTGGTGGCAGCAGCCCCCAGCCCTGCCAGTTCAGCGTGGCACAGTGTGGGGGCAGCAGTAGTGGTGGGAGCCCTGGTGAGGGTTCTGCATCTGGAGCCAGGCTGGGGACCAGTCTCCATGGAGACCACGTGGGACTGGGCAGGGAGCTGTATCTGGGGCCAGGGGCCACTCCACCCCATGCCAAAATTATGGGGGGTGGGGGCTGCTGCCAGTGCGTGGCTATCTGGGGGTGAGCTGTAGGCTGGAACAATGGGAGTGTCCCAGTGGGGGTGTCCCAGTGCTACCCACTTTCCCCAGCCCTAGCCCAGTCCTGGCTGCTGAAAGTGGTGGGGTGTGGAGTCGCTGCCAGATCCACCCCCTTTCTCCCCCCACCTCTTGGCTGTGTGCCCCAGGCTGGGGGAAGGGATGAGTTAGGGAAGGGGGGGGAAGGAAGCTAAATTTCTCTCAAGTGTCCTCCACAGGGCTAGCAGCCCCGCTCTCTCCCTTGTGGGTGCTGCAGTCCCCCAACAAGTTCCAGTGGTGCCTCCCAGCTCAGCCCCAGCCATGGCTCCATCCCCAAAATCCTGGCCCCAGATGTGGCTCTGGGGTTCTGTGAAGGCAGGATGCACAGGTGGGTACCAAGATGTGATGGGGCCCAGGGCTGGGATCACGGGGTGCTGACAGTGTGGGGCTGAGGTGGGGCAGAGCTGTGATATGCTCCCTGCATGCCCCTGCCCACAGAACCCATGCCTATTACAGGGGTATGTGAGCAGCAGATCATGGCTCTTACCAGGTCCCAGAGCATCTCTGCCCCATAAATTTACCCTGTAATCTCAGCCTTGCCCACCCCTACCACTCCTGAACACCATGATCAGGGGCCCACATAGGGAATTGTAGTGAGTTGTTGGGGGTGGAGAGGAGTGCTGACCCGGCCTGCAACAGCTCATCAAAAAGCCTATGTGGCCCTTGTGCCCAAGTAATTGGCCACCCCTGATCTAAACAGACATCACATTTCTCCCAGGAGAAAGCCTTTTTTGTTCCCAGATCCTACAGAACAATCATTTCATTGTCTCACTAAGTACCTGTGAAGTATGAGAGATAAAGTATGTTAAAACTTCTTCATCCCCTGCCCCCTCTGTGTAAGTTAATAGTGACTCATTCAAGTTAATGGCCAATCATGTTCTTCTTAGCTACTGAGCAGTAATGCAGCTTGGAAGGGCTGTATGTGTTGTAGGGCTGTGCTCTTTGGTCTCAGATTTTGGCTCACATCAATCAGGACAGCCTTAAATGCAATACAGACTGTCTTTAAAGCCTCAGTCATTTACTAAAATGATTAGATTGACACAATATGCATACCATTATATGAGTATGTGCACATATGCTTAGAAATAAAGTCTCCTTCTAAAGAAAGAAAACTTTGCTTTCTGTATCAAGTTAAATTTAAGTCAAAAGCATAGTAAGGGATCAACTGTTAAACCTAAACTGAATTCTGTGTAACACATTAAGCACGCTCTAGCACATGCTTATTTTCTAGAACAGGGGTGGCCAACCTGCCCCATGCTTGCCACAAGTGACAGCTTCTGTGTGTGGCATGTGGCAGATTGGACAGGGAATACCAGGCTGGGTGCCAAAAGCACCCAGGCAAGGGAAAGGGATTGGAGTGGCACCCTTGGATGACACAGGTTTAATCTGTGGTATAGCATGAACTGAACTAATTTAGCTGATGTTAACATAGAGTGTAATAACAATGAAATATAACTATGTTAGTCTTGTCCCATAAGCAACTTGAAAACTCCATTTTGTATCCTTCTGTGTGACATAAGTGAATAAACTCTGCATAGCCTTTATGTATGAGTGTGTGTAAAAGGGTGAATGGTGAGAGAATGACATAGGGATGGGAGAAGAAGATTTAACTGTTTTTGTAAGCAACAAGGTACCAAATGTAAGTTACCAGTCAGTAAACCTATTAATGAATGGCTGAAGAATCCCTTTTAGGCCTTGGCACAAAGAAGATAATGAGGAGAAGAAATGCACCCATCCTGCCAGACGGGCAGCAAAAACACTCCAAAGCTAAAATAAGCTGAAAACAAAAGAAGACTAGCTGTAAAAACAGAAGCTGGGTATGGAAAAACCCTAAAGCACTGAAACAAAGAATGCCAGTCCCTATATAAGAACACTTTGAAAATGCCAAGTTGGGTGAGTCTCTTTCTCTACTGCTGTTTCATCGGAGCACAGATGCATCTGTTCACCCTGCTCCAGATATTATCTTCAAATCTGCTATCTTCAAATCATCATCATCTACTCAATAAGCCCAGGTTGGCCACCCTGGGCTGATATTAAGCAACTATTCCTGGTAACTGTATCTGGTATATGTGTGGATGAAATGGTTGTTTTGTGTATGTGTATGCCTATGTGTAATGATGTGTATGATGATTTGTGTGTGTTTGTATGAATGGTGTGCCTGAAATCTAACTCATGTGATCAATAAACACGGCACCTTGCCTTATCCCCCTTTATAAAGTCTTGCTTGTGATTTGAGCAATTGGCAATTTGAGTAACAGTGGCACGTCTGCCAAAAAGGTTCTAGAAGATGATATATACGATGCTGACCCTCACATCTAACCTCCCTCCACCCCAAACTGTCTTTACAATGTTACTAATCACTAGCTCTATGGAAGCAGACTAGGATATATCTGTGGTGTCTTACAAACTAACTGTGCTAACTGCTACCAAATAATCTTTTTTTTTCTGGTGACCATTTCCTTTCTGAAATAAGTGGATGGCTTTTTCTTTATTGTAACAAATAGAAAAATTGCTACATGTAACTCCAATGCTTCAAGACAGCATGTTACTGTGTTGTGCTGCTACATTCTTAAGCATCTCTGAAGTCTCTTAAGTGTTGGTGCTATGCTGCTGCTCCGCAGAACTTTGTTGCTGACACCTCAGACAAAGAGAAGAATAAAGAAGCCCTAGATTGTGTGTTGAAGCAAGTAAAAAGATAAATTTTAAAACTCTGGCAAACCATGAAAGATGTTTCTTCATAGCAGAAAAGGAACAGCCACTGTAGGCAAAAAGGAACAGCCACTGTAGGCAACTATTCCCAATAGACGTTAATCCCTCCTCCTACAGGTCTGTTTTAATACTTTAC